GCGATCTTTGGGGGCTCTTGGGCCGTCTCGGGCCGTCGGAAGGCCGAAAAGAAGCAAATGTCAACATTATTCAAACACTGGTGGCAAATTAAAGTTTTTTGGCCTTTTTCTGGCCTTCCTGGAGGCCCTCTCGGGGGCCTCTTGGGCCGTCTTGGGCCAGCTTCGAGCCAACTTCGGCCGTCATGGTGGGTTCCTGGCACGTCTGACGCCGTCGGGGGCCGTTTGGGAGGCCTTTCGGGGCCGACTGGGGGCCCTCTTGGGGCGCTTCGGGGCCGTCTTGGAAGCCATCTTGGGCGTCTTGGAGGCCATCTTGGGCATGTTGGAGGCCTCTCGGGCCATCTTGGGGCCCTCTTGGGGCCGTCTTGGAAGCCACTTGGCCCGTCATGGGGCCCTCTTGGGGGCCTCTTGGGCGATCTTTGGGGCCTCTGGGGCCGTCTTGAGTCGTCGGAATGCCGTCAGCCGCGGTCTCGCGAGCGCCGGCGCGCGCGCGCATCCTGACCCAGCAAAGCTGGCCTCTAGCGCGCGCGGCAGCCCTGTCGCAGGGCGCCGCGGCTCAGAGCACGGCCCCTCTTGGCGCTCCTGCCCTCCGACGCAGGACTAAGCGCGGAGGCCATGCCCTCAGGGCTGCGGACAGCAAGGTCGGGCAGAAATGGCTTCGCAGGACACGGCGCACCGCGCGTCGACAGGGGGGGGACACGCACCTGAAAGGGATAGGAAGACCAGCATGGAGATGAACAGTTAAAGAGAAAGCGACGTAGTCGGAGTAGTCAGCAAACACACACCATGTCAGCCCAGACACGGGATGGACGTGACGAATCCCTCCACGTGAGATTCCATGGAACTGAGCGCGCGTTCTATGAAACAGTCTCAGCGAGGATCGCGCGCGCACCCCTCGGTCGCAGACCGGCGCGCGCGCGCCCGCGCGGCGGGCAGGCCGCGCCAATCTCTGCGCGGACCCGGCGGCCCGTCGGAAAGGCGGCGGGGGGCTCCGCGGAGCGCGCCCCGTCGGGTCGCCAGGCGCCGCGGCAATGCGCACTCAGCCGGCGGTCGCCTCTGCGGGGGAATCAGGGCGCAGGGAATGATCGAGGAGCGCGAGCAAGGGACGGCTGAGCAGAGGCCCTTCGCAGTTGAGCGGATCTGGGGGCCGCGCGGCGGCGCTGCCCAACTCTGCCCTCGCATTTTGGTGCCTTCGCGCATCTCCCTCCTTTCGTGCTTGACTGTTCTTCCAATTCCTAGTCCTTTGCTTTGCGTCGTCCTCTTCGCCCTCGACTCTGTCGCTTTTCCTGTCCTGCCTGCCCCGCGGCAACCGGTGCGCCACGGCGCGCGGCGCGGCGGAAGCGAAGAAAGAATTAGCAGGGAACCCGCGGGCGGGCACCCGCGCAATGCGCGGCGCCCAGCCGCGGGCGCGGGGGCGCCAGCGAGCGCGCGCATCCTTGCCAGACAAAGCCCCCCGCAAACGCGCGCAGCAGCCCTGTCGCGGGGCGCCGCGGCTGCATGTCGACAGAGGGGGCGCAGAAAACTGAGACACGTAAACCGAAGTGGAAATGAACAAGTAGATCGAAAACAAAACCGTCGAAGAGGTCAGCAACGCACGCGCGGCATAGGCCTGGGCAGAAGATCGATGTGAAAATTAACCCCGCAAGCCGTGAACCGACCCGCTAGTTGCATGCCAACGCGCGTGCGCCCGCGTAGGAAAGGAGGCGGAGAGCTCCGCAGTCGACCCCTTGGACCGCGGGCGCCACCCCAACTGCAGGCGCGAATGGCAATCGCGCCGCCCAACGAGGCGCGCCCGCGATGAGGGGGCGCCAAAGAGCCGCTGGGCCGGTCGGCGGAACCACAGTGGAGGCGCTCCTCAGCGAGACGGCGACCCGGCATAGCCAGCGCCTGACATTGCCCCATCCGTGCGCTGGTGGGGGGGCCTGGGGGGCCGCCAGCAACTAAGGGCGCGCCCTTGTCGCGCGCGGTGCCCCCCCGCGCGACCGACGCCACTCGCGCGCGCCATCGCGCGCAATGCTGACTTGCACCCCCGCGCGCGCGACGCGCGAGCCCGTCAGGATGGGGAAGCCAGGTGAGAAGCGACCCTGGGCGCGTCGCACACGGCGTCGCTGACGTCGGGGTCTCGCGCCCTCGCCCCTCGCCCGACGAACGCATCGGCCTGGCTCTGTCAGGGCGCCCCGCGCCCGTGGAGCCCCGCCAGGCCGGGCCCCCCGGGGGCGGCATTCTCACGGATATGTTCATTAGCGACATCTCGAACTTCAGCTATCCCTGAGATTGCGCGGCAGTCGCGGCCTGCGGGCGCCCCGATCTTCGACAGATCACTCGAATACATATCCCCTAGGAGCGCCCATCCCTAAGATCGCCGACAGGCGCGCTGGCGGGGGGGGCCCTGCGGGGGGGCGCGGGCGCTCGCGAGCGAGCGAGCCACGTGCGCCACAAACCGCAGTCATAATCGCACGTGCCCTCCGAAGGGGCGAAAGACTATCTCCAGCATCGGGGCGCGCGCCCCCGCGCGTCCAGTGCGAGACCCGCGCCAAGTTAAACGCGCCGGGCAGATCGCGTCGGGCGGCGAATGCGCGGCCAGCAAGCGGCGCGCATTGAGGTGGCGCTCCCCGCGTCGGTTGGCACGCGCCTCAACTGCTCCTAGTCGTCGAGGCGATGATGTGACTGGCTAGGTGGATTGTGGTAGAGATGCAGAGAACGGCTTGCAACGCGGCAAATGAGCGCGCGGGCTGAATTCGCGCGCCGGCTGACCTGGCTCGCGAAAGGTCTCTCTGCGAGCTGCGCCCCGTGTGACATAGCCGAATGCAACCTGGGTGCGATCGGGGGAAACCAACGTCGGTGTCAGCAGGCACTCTAGGAGGTGGTCGGGGACAAGCTCGGCCAGGCGCAAGCGCGCGCGGGGCGTCGGCCCGCGCGCGCACAGGCGAACAGCCGGGCGCAACGGCGCCCCATCGCGCGTAGCACGCCGCATGGTTGGGCACAGCCCTGGCCAGCCTCTGCCTTCGCGCGCGCCCCAGCAAACAGCCGAACACGCCGATGCCTGGCGCGCGCAGCAAGGCGCGCGAGTGCGCGCGGGCGCGGCGCGGCGCGCGCGCCAGCGCCGCCGGGCACAAACAGCGCGCATTTGAATGCCAAGGCACATAGTGCAACGCGCCTTCGCAGCTGCATCACCGGGCGCAGGCAAAGCCGCGGGCGCGCATGGGTGGCGCGCGCCGCGAGGCCAGGACCGCCGCGCACTGGCACCGCGCAGGCGCGCCCCCCGCCAGCGAGTCCTGAGCGACGGGGCAATTGCCACTGCAGGGGCAAACGCGCGCACTTCCCCATCCGAAGCTGCCGCGGCAGAAGTAGCGCGGACTGCCGCATGGCCGCGCGCCTTGGCCAAGTGGCGCAGCGAAAGGCGCCGACTGGATCTTGCTGCAAGAGGCGCAACAGACGCGCCAGCGCACATCGAGCCACGTACTTCGCGCGTCGTGCGTCCGAGCGCCAGGGCGCGCAGCATGCGCCAGGGCGCGGGGCAATGGGTCCCGCGGTCAAGCGAGTGACGCAACTCAGCCCCGATCGCCTGTCAATCGCACTCAACATTGCTTCCTCGTTGAGTAAGTGAGCAGGCGGCGTGCCTGTTGTGGCGCTGACAGCTGGTCGCGGCAGAAGCAGCGCGCAGCGCTGCGCGCGGGCTGGGCCCCTTCCCTGTTTCTTGGGCAAGGGCGCGCGACAAAGCTTCCAGGCAGCGCGCGGCACGACAGCAATCGGTTCCTTCGGCATGGCTGGGCGCGTCATCCTGAAACAGGGTCCGCGTAGATGGTGGCGAAGTATCCGTCGAAGTCCGCCTCGAGGAAAACCATGATGAGATTAAGTACGGCAGCCCAACTGGTCGACGGGCCGGATGAAACGAAAAACGCAAGTGAGCAACGGTCCTGGCGTAGCCGACGTACTGGCTGGCTGCATGTGGGGTGGCGTCTGCTGCGCTCGCCAGGTGAGCGGCTCGCCGGCTGCGGCCAACTCTCGGGCAATAACATGCGCATGTGGCAGCAAGCCGGTGATAAGAAGCGCGCTGCCCCCCAGCACCAAAATAGAGGTCCCCCGCGATAAGACTCGACCACGAGGGGAGCTGCGGAAACGCCTTGGGGTTCGGGCCTGCGCAAAGACGAAATCCATGTTGAAGCAGGTGGCAGCCGTAATAATTCTGACAACTTCGGTCGAAGCCGAGGGGGTTGAAAACGGCGCATTCACTCTCAGTGGTCCAGTCGAGTGGAGCGACGTGCTCGCATTGACCACAACCAACACAGCCGTGCACATCACGAGGAAGGAGCTTCGCAGTCATCAGCACCATAACCGTACTGACCCAGGGAGGAGCTCCGCCGTCATGCCCGACGCGAAGCTACGGCCAGTACCTGTGGGGTGCGATGGATCGTGGGAAACGTCGTGGAGTCCCCGTTGGCATGCACTCACCATCGAATAGTAGCCTGCAACTGCTCATGCCCTCGCAGCCGGTTCTTCACGTTTCGTATTGTCGGGCGTTTGCCCCAGCGTATCGGTGGGCGTCCAGGGCGGATTACCCGAAGGTTTGCACTACAGGAACAAACACAAGCTGATCAAGGAATGGACCGTGGTACCGATGCGGCGGTTAAGGGAAATGCAAATGTGCGTCCACATCGCAGTATGCGCAGATCCGCGAAACGCGAGCTGGGACCACTCCCAGTTCCACTACCGACTAGAATTGCGGGCGGCATGGTTGAAAGGTAAAGACATGGCGCCAATGGTAAAACATGAAACATAGCAAATGTTCCGTCCTTTTCCTTGCAACGTGTCTTAATCCGCGTGCACGCATTAAACCACAGAATGGCAACGGGCTCGCACGTGTGCTCCTCTTCGAGTGAGGAGGGAGGAGACAGAAAGAGGAGGAGGGAGTAGAGAGGAGGAGGGAGGATGATGAGGAAGAGGACAGGACAAAGAGGCCAAAACCAAAGGGAGGTTCTGGTACCCAACGCGGCCCGCGGATCCTGCATGATGCCGCGTTTCTTCTTCGGCGCCCCAGCGTCAGCCGGCGCGTCGGCGGATGCAGCGGCGCCTCTTGGGGGCGCCACCAGGTCTGCAGACTCCAAGGTCCAGAGGAAGAAATAATGGCATGAACAAAAGCTTGGTCACTTAACTTCGCGCATCGTGTTCCTCGATGCGTGATGCGAGGTTATCTTCTCGCTCTCACGCCGCTGTCCTGGAGAAGGGCGCATCTCCAACCCATGCCGCAATGCGCGAAGCGCAACGATCTTCCCGCCCCTGAGCATAGATAAGCTTTCAGAGTTCCGCATCGGCATCTTGGATCTGCGATGGGCCCCCTTCCCTGGCGCGCGGAGCGCACCAGGGGCAGCGTCTCAGGCGCCAGAGGCGCCGCAAAAGGGGGCCCAACGCATATCCAAGAACTCCGCGCGGAGCTTAGACAGGTCTATGCTTATGCCGCTTGTTCTTCGAAAATCGAGCCTGCGATGTTCTGCGTTTTCAGTCCTTGAGGGCCATCCCTGCGCTGCAACCTTCGGGGCTTGTGCACAGAAGCCGCGCTTCGCCGTTGAACGGCTGCGGCCACAAAATGCGAAGTGTGAACTAGTGATTGACACGGTCATGGCAATTCGCCGGGGGACAGAAGCGAACCGATCGTGCCCCCCGAGCCGCCGCCGTCGATAGGGGGTCATCGTCGGCCTCGTGTTGGTACCAGGGTGCTCGAGAGGTCCTGGGCCCCGGGACTCGAAAACACCGAGCCGTCGGAAGCCTGCGCCTCTCCGCCCTCACGCCCCGTGCGCGGGCAGCGCTTGGCGGGGTGCGCGCCCTGCTCCGAATGGGGCTGAGGCCATCGGTCCGGGGATCTCCAGAGAGTGCGGCAACGCCTCCTCGTGCCGCCTCCTTGTTCTCCTCATCCGCCTCCTCCTCTTGGTTTTCCTCCTCCTCCTCCTCCTCTTCTTCGTCTTCGTATGTTTCTTCTGATTTGTCTTCTTCTCAGCACGCATATTATTTTTGCGATTCGTATCACCATTATGAATCGTAGGATCACTTATTGGTAGTCTTGCGAGTATGATTAGACTTGCCATGAATAGTATTACTGTTACTAGTGTGGACACTATCATTACCCGTACTGATGAGACTGCTACTAAGAATATATATATATATATATTGCGATTCGCAGTGATATCACTATGGCTACTAATATTGTTACTAGTCTCGTGGATATTACTACTCGAAGAAATCGAATCACCGTTATTCTTATTAGCATAATTAAACATGCTGGTGTTAGCATTAACGTGACCACTAGAGGAAGTCGCAATACTGACAGAAATAATGATATATGTAAGTCAATGTAGCAGTAGAAGCAATCGTAGTAATCGTCGTAGGTAGTGGTAGTAATAGTAGTAGTAGTAGTACTACTACTACTAGTAGTAGAAGAAGGACTGATGGAGTAGTAGAGAAAGTAGTAGTAGTAGTAGTACTAGTAGTAGTCGTAGTGGTAGTAGTAGTAGTAGTAGTAGTAGTAGTAGTAGTAGTAGTGGTAGTAGTAGTAGTAGTCGTAGTAGTAGTAGTAGTAGTAGTAGTAGTAGTAGTAGTAGTAGATGTAGTAGTAGTAGTAGTAGTAGTAGTAGTAGTAGTAGTAGTCGTGGTAGTAGAAGTAGTAGTAGTAGTGGAAATAGTAGTAGTAGTAGTAGTAGTAGTCTTCGTAGTAGTAGTAGTAGTAATCGTAGTAGTAGTAGTAGTAGTAAGTATAGTAGTAGTAGTAGTAGTAGTAGTAGTAGTAGTAGTAGTGGTAGTGGTAGTTGTAGTAGTAGTAGTAGTAGTAGTAGCAGTAGTAGTAGTAGTAGTAGTAGTAGTAGTCGTAGGTACTAGTAGTAGTAGTCGTAGCAGTAGTAGTAGTAGTAGTAGTAGTAGTAGTAGTAGTAGTAGTAGTAACAGTAGCAACAGTAACCGTAAAAGTAGTCCCAGTAGCCGAGTAGTAGTAGTAGTAGTAGTAGTAGTAGTAGTCGTAGTAGTAGTAGTAGTAGTAGTAGTAGTAGTAGTAGTAGTGGTGGTGGTGGTGGTGGTAGTAGTAGTAGTAGTAGTAGTAGTAGTAGCAGTAGTAGTAGTAGTCGTAGTAGTAGTAGTAGTAGTAGTAGTAGTAGTAGTAAGTCGCAGTAGTAGTAATATTAATAGTAGTAGTACTAGTGGTGGTGGTAGTTGTAGTTGTAGTTGTCGAAACCAATTGCCCTAGCCAGCTCAACCTGCCAACCCGTCCAACCAGCCAGCCAGCCCACCCAGCCACCCCGCCACCTAGCCAACCCGTCAGCCAACCAGCCCAGCCGCCCACCCCGTCATCCCGCCAACCGGCCGATCCCCTCCGCCTGCTCTCCGTGCCCAACCAGCCACCCTGCCAACCCGCTCTCCCCCGCCGCCTGCCCTCCGTCACCGCCGAGGGGGGAGGAAGTGTTTCTTACCAGCGAAAACCAGACAACTAGCCCTCCCAGGGACCGGCGGGACAGCGGGGAGGGGGCAAATCGCACCGTACTATGCAGGACCGGGAATGGCGGGGGGGGTGCCCGGCACGGTTTTGGGCCTCAAGTGTGTAACTGTCGTCATTTTTCAACGTCCACCGCGCCCTCTTTCTCAATGGGAAGGCTCCCATCCTTGAAACTGTCGCCAATTTTGAGGCCCCGCGCGTGGCTTCTTAGAGAGCCGCCAAGAGGCCCCAGGAGGTCTCAGGAGGCATCAGGAAGCTCCAGGAGGCTTCAGGACGTCCCCGGAGGCCGTGGGAATCCTAAGGAGGCTCCAGGACGCTCCAGGAGGTCCCAGGATGCCCCGCGAGGTCCCACAAGGCCCCAGGAGGTCCCATCACGCTCCGGGCGTATCCTGAACGACCCAAAAGTTCCAGAACGCTGCGGACGCCCCTGGAGGGCTGAGGATACCCTAGGAGAGCCCAGGAGGTTTCAAGAGGCCGCAGGAACCCAGGAGGCCCCCGGGACTACCAGGAGGCTCCATGAGGTCCCATGGTCCATCACGCCCGAGGTAGGGAGGGGGAGGCGGAGGAGGAGAAGGACGTGGAGGAGGAGGAGGAGGAGAGGAGGACAAGGAAAAGGAGGAGGAGGACGAGGAGAAGGATGAGGAGAAAGACGAGCATGATGAGGAAAGGGTGAGCAGGGTGACAGCGTGACGCCCCAGCAAATACACTTGGTCCAAGTAGTTTCTACCCCTGTGAGGGGCATTACATGGTAGTAGTAGTAGTAGTAGTAGTAGTAGTAGTAGTAGTAGTAGTAGTAGTAGTAGTAGTAGTAGTAGTAGTAGTAGTAGTAGTAGTAGTAGTAGTAGTAGTAGTAGTAGTAGTAGTAGTAGTAGTAGTAGTAGTAGTAGTAGTAGTAGTAGTAGTAGTAGTAGTAGTAGTAGTAGTAGCAGTAGTAGTAGTAGTAGTAGTAGTAGTAGTAGTAGTAGTAGTAGTAGTAGTAGTAGTAGTAGTAGTAGTAGCAGTAGTAGTAGTAGTAGTAGTAGTGGTAGTAGTAGTAGTAGTAGTAGTAGTAGTAGTAGTAGTAGTAGTAGTAGTCGTAGTAGTAGTAGTAGTAGTAGTAGTAGTAGTCGTAGTCGTAGTAGTAGTAGTAGTAGTAGTAGTAGTAGTAGTTGTGGTGGTAATAGTAGTAGTAGTGGTAGTAGTAGTAGTAGTAGTGGAACTAATACGAGTAGCAAAACTAGTAGTAGTAGTAGTAGTAGTAGTGGTGGTGGTGGTGGTGGTGGTAGTAGTAGTAGTAGTAGTAGTAGTAGTAGTAGTAGTAGTAGTAGGGGTAGTAGTAGAAGTAGTAGTAGTAGTAGTAGTAGGGGTAGTAGTAGTAGTAGTAGTAGTAGTAATGGGATTCCCCTTCTTCTTGTTATTACGATTAATGAAATTATTCCTCCACCTCCTCCTCCTCCCTCCCTCCCTAGTAGTAGTAGTAGTAGTAGTAGTAGTAGTAGTAGTAGTAGTAGTAGTAGTAGTAGTAGTAGTAGTAGTAGTAGTAGTAGTAGTAGTACTAGTAGTAGTAGTAGTAGTAGTAGTAGTAGTAGTAGTAGTAGTAGTAGTAGTAGTAGTAGTAGTAGTGGTAGTAGTAGTAGTAGTAGTAGTAGTAGTAGTAGTAGTAGTAGTAGTCGTAGTAGTAGTAGTAGTAGTAGTAGTAGTAGTAGTAGTAGTAGTAGTAGTAGGGGTAGTAGGGGTAGTAGGGGTAGTAGTAGTAGTAGTAGTAGTCGTAGTAGTAGTAGTAGTAGTAGTAGTAGTAGTAGTAGTCATGGGATTCCCCTTCTTCTTGTTATTACGATTAATGAAATTATTCCTCCACCTCCTCCTCCTCCCTCCCTCCCTACCTCCCTCCCTCCCTCCCTCCCTCCGTCCCTCCCTCCAGTGCAGCGTCGTAGCCTTGCACGCGCTGGCCCGCGAAGGCGGCCGGGAGCGGCCATGAGAGGCTCATTTCCCCTGCGGTCTGGGTCGGGGACTGCGGCCCGCAGGCCGGAGGGGGTCCAAGCACAGCGAATACGCGGCAATCCCAGCGATCCGTGGTCTCTCAGATCTGGCGGTTCTGATGGATGTACCGAGCGCCACAGCCGTTCCAGAGCGTTCAGGAACGCTCTGTAGGGCCTTATCCCGTCCCTGCGCCTGTCTGACACACGCCTCCCCTCGCCCATCCCCTTCCCTCTCCTGGGGGCCGCCCGAATGGGGCCGGAGCAGGTGGGCAGGAGGATGACGCCGCATCACCGATGCATCGGCGACGCCGGGGTGAAAAATATCGGGTTCAGGATCGAGCAATACCACCGATGTATCGGCGACGCGAAGCGATCCTCCAACCCCATCTACGTCGGCCCAATTTGGGTGGCCTGGCTACTCTCTCCTTCCTCGCCTGCCATCCCTTGCCTGCGCCTCCCCACAGCCACCAACCAGCTGATCCCACGCCTGTGCTGGATGCAACGGCGGCGGCTGGGATGCAGGCCGCCCTGCTGCCCCGCGGCCCGCCCGAAAGGAAGCAGCGGCGCGCAAAGGAGCGCCCTCTCCACATGGACAGCCTGGGACACGGGCGATCCACAGCCCGGAAATCTGGAGGAGAAAAACCTTAGGCCAACACGGCCTGAAGGCGGGAGGGCGTCGGTTAAACACGTCCCCGGGGTAGCCCGCAGATGCCCGAGTTACTCGCCACACACACACACACACATACACACACGGACGCATACACTCTTGGCGGCGCGGCCTCGCGCGCAACGTCGAGGCGTAAAGGTCCGAGAGCAAAAAGCGGGAGACGCGCGCGGCCGGCCCACTCAGAGGCCAGAGACGTAGATCCACCCGCACACACGCACATTTGTTTGATCACCTGCGAGCTGGATCCAGCAAGCGGTCGGCTGTCGGCGGGGCGCGGCGGAAGCGAGCCGGACACAATACAATGGCAGGGAAAGGCAGACTTTTTGCCTCGGCGGCTGCAGAAGGTGACTGCTGCGGCGATCTGGCAACAGGGGGCGCACTGTGTGCAAATGAATGCCGCGATGCACGAGGGAAGAGGAGGAGGCCCCAGCGCGACGGGGAGAGGGGGAGCCGGGCCTGCTCATGCACGTCACTGGCTGCGGCAAGGGTCGCAAGCTGCCGCGAGAGCGCCGCGAAAGGCGACAACCGCAGGCCGGCGTGAGGGCGTGGGACGAAAGACAAAGAGGCGGAGCCACGCCAAGAGGGGGAGCGGCGTGGAGCTGGGAGTGCCAGCAGGTGGGCGGGCGAGCGGACCCAAGGAAGGGCCGGAGCGCCGAGACCTGGGGGCCTACGAGGCGCAGCGGGAGGCGAAAGGCGGAACGACGGAGGGCCGGAGCGCCGGCCAGCGGGCGGAAGGTAAACGAAGGCGAATAGAAATGACCACCCCAGAACGGGGGAGCGGCGCGGGGCTGGGAGCGCCAGCGGGGCGGGGCGTGCGCCGAGACCAGAGGGCCTGCGAGGCGCGGCGGCAGGAAGCGGCGGAAGGCGCCATCGGAGTGCGGCAGCGACCCGCTCGCCAGTAACCGGTGAATGGACAAGAGGCCTGAAAACCAAGCAGGGAGAGCGGGGACCCTGGCCAGGGGCAGCCGGGGTCGCCCGACAGGCAGTCTTGCTAAACACACACACACACACGCACGCACGCACGCACGCACGCACGCACGCACGCACGCACACACAAACAGACACACACACACACACAGACACACACACACACACAGACACACACACATACACACACACACACACGCACGCACATATCAAAGGCACGCCCCTGCCGCTCGCAATAGTCACCGCTGCATAAGGGTCGAATTTGCCGCGCGTATGTGCGGAGGGTCTCTTCGGCCAGCCGCTTTACCTCTCGAGCGCATACTGCATCCGCACGACTGGCCGATTGGGCGTCCCGGTCTCCCGCTGAAATGTACGCAATGGGGCCCACATCGCCGTTGCGTTTGCATCCCTTTTCGGTTCTCTGCCTCCGTCCTCCCCTCCCCCATAGAGCAGGATGGCCCTGCTCGTCCAGCGGCTCGGCCGAGATCTTGGCAGGTTTGCTGTCCTTTGGGGGGTGGCTACCAACAGCATATACATTCGCGGCAGCCGCACCATTGAACGATAATCGAACCAGCCCAAGCTGCCTTGGTAGCAACGATCTGATCTAAGGCGACGGACACGAACCAACGAAAATGACTAAAGCTATGTTAGTCAGCGTGGGCCCATGACAACGGTCTATTGCAATCTAAGCGGTGCAATGCACATGAGGCAATTTAGGTGGTGTAACTCACCAGTGCTCAATTTGAATTTGTCCACACCACTGCTCACGCAATCATCCCACCCACCCACCCGCAGCTTGTTTCGCAAAACCCATGCGGAGGCGATTGCGACGTGTGATTGGTGTTGGCTGGTGCATCTCTGCGACCGCGCCAGCCCGCGCATGCACTGGCGCGCACCGGCCAGCTATTTTGGCACGACCGACGCGGCCGCGGTGGCGTTGACCTCTTGGCACATCCCAGCGGGCACTTTTGTGCGAGTCGGCAACTTGGGCGGGCGCGGTATCATGGCAACGTCGACACAGGTAGACGCGATGATGCTGGTAGCGATGCTGGTGACGATGTTGACAACGACGACGGCACAGCTTGTGACGGCGCCGATGCTGATCACGCCGACGACGATGACGGCGGACTCGCGTTGGTGATGAAGGTTGTTGGAAGGAGTTTGACATGCGCGCGCAGCAGACGCGCGAGAGTGGCCCGCATGCTATTATTTAAAACAGATCGTGCCATCCCCCCGCACGCGCGCAAGGGCGGTCGAATGATTTCGGCATGCGGCGCGAGAGGACTTTTTGGCAGAAATTCATAATAATAAAAAATTGTTTCTGAACGATTCGCAAGGGCGCGAGCGCAGGCATTTTTGAAACATGACCGAAATCATGTTGTAAAAATATACTATATACATATGTGTATATATGTATGGTTTCGGGGCACTCGGTTTTGAAATCCTTACGAAACCTGGGGTGTTTGAAGAAGTTCGG